TGTGCGGTTGACCGCGTGTGATTGCATGCAGCCATGTCCTCCCATAGAGAGGACGTGGCTGCATCCCTTCCGGGAATGGGTCTTTTTAGGGGCGTGGACAACGTATGGACATGCACGCCTCTCTGAATGAGTCCTTACACTCACGTTTCTTTGTGGTCACCGAGACAGGAAGTACAGAGTATCTCCAAGGGAAGCACAGGCAGTAAAAGAAGAATACAGGAGGTAAACAAAGTTTTAGTTTCCTGAAGCCAAACTTTTTTTTTTTTTAGGTTTGGATAGAGTGAGGGAAGGTCACAACCTTTGTCAACTTTTTATGCGCTCTGTGTCCCATTGGGGACACTTTCCTTCACTTCCTGTCCAATAACCACAGCAAGAAGTGAAATGAAATCCCTGCAAAGAGAGGGAAATCTCTGATGGACAGCAGGGTCACCAGAACTAGTGTCCCCATTGGGAGGTTTCCTATCTATTCCTGTTCTGATGACAACCCAAAATGTGGGATTTTCTTTTACTTTCACTCATAACATTCACCAGGACAAATAGGTTGAATCCCCCTAACGGGACACATGCAGCAATAAAAACCTGACAGGGGCTCTAATCTCTCTACACTCTATCCATAACCTAAAAAGAAATGTAAAGGCTTCAGTTGCACTTTAAGATGGCCACCCACATTTTGAATTTTGGCAGATTCCTGCTGAAGCAAAGGATATGAGGCAAGACCGTTTCTATTACAATGGCCTCTGTCCCAGGTATAGCTCACTACAGATCAGATCCTGCTTTAAAGATAAAGTCCCCCAAAAAATGATAATAAATGCACACTTCTTTATAAAAGAAAAATGTGCATTGTTCTAGGGTGCTAGGTGTGATCCTCGAGTCCGACCTCACCTTTCTGCCCCACATCCAATCACTATCCAAATCCTGCCACCTTTACCTTCGTAACATCTCCAAAATACGACCCTTCCTCACCAATGAAACCACAAAGCTACTTATCTGCTCAGCTGTTATCTCTCGTCTCGACTATTGCAAATCCCTCCTCATTGGCCTACCTCTACACAGGCTATTCCCCCCTCAGTCTATCATGAATGCTGCTGCCAGACTCATCCACCTAACCAACCGCTCAGTGTCTGCAACTACCCTCTGCCAATCCCTGCACTGGCTTCCAATAGCCCAAAGGATAAAATTCAAGCCAAGCCTCCTGCTCTCTAACTCCCTCATCAACTCCTCCCATGCTCGCCTCCAGGACTTCTCTAGAGTCTCTCCCATCCTCAGAACTTCCTACTCCAACCTGTCCGGCTGTCTCCTACTCTGTCTGCCTTAAGGGCCGGTTCACACCATCAGCACGGTTAGTGGCCGGAACACACACCTCCCTGCTTTCTGGGGCGGGAGGGGGCGTGGCGGTGCCATTCAAGTCAAGTCAATGGCACGGCAGACATGCCCCCCCTCCCCCGCTCGGACTGCGATCACCCGCATCAAATCACGTGTCACAGCAATGCCTGTGTTCCAGTCCAGTGTGATTGCAAAAAATAGTGCATATACAATCGCACTGGAAATGGTGTGAACCGGCCCTGAAAACTAATTTCTTCAGGGAAGCCTATCCCACCTCAACCTAACCACTGAACCATCACTTTCTTAAACAATTCATCCCCACACAGCTACCTCCTCATGTATCACTTCCCCCTCACTTTTAGGTTGTAAGCTCTTGTGGGCAGGGCCCTCCTTACAATCTTGTCTTGAATTGTATTGTAACTGTAATGTCTTCCTTATATTGTAGAGCTCTGCACAAACTGCTGGCGCTATATGAATCCTGTATAATAATAATTGGAACTACCGGTAGTAAAGCATTAAAACTGCTCCGCCTCTTGCAGATTCTTCCTCCCATCCCTGTCTGCATGAACATTCAATAACATGGAAAGGAGGAAAAATGAATTGACTACAAGTGCTGTGACGTCACCGTACCTGTATTCTATTGAGGGCTATAAGTCCCTCTGCTTTGGTGACTGATGGAACATCCGCACCATTTAAAAAGCAGCAGCCTGCAAACAGAAGAACCCCGCAATTCAGGTAAGTGGGTGGTGGGTGGTGCGACGTGACCATGTTTCATGTTACAACCTGAATATGGGTGTAACATAAATCATGGTCAGAAAGGTAAACTTCACCTTTTATACTGACACTACTACTCTATGATATGTATCCACCCGGACCAGGTGTAACACACACTCTTGTATGCATACACAGACCATGTCTTTAACAGACATTACTATGCTGAGACTTATGTACACACATCCAAGGTCCGGCACACACTATAATGCCATCACCTGTGTGTACACAAAGAGCAGGTCCGGTATATGACCTGCAAACACACAAACTAGGTTAAGCTGGCCATGTACTGCACAAATTGTGGCTGAGTCCTGCTGACAAAATTTAAGCAGTTGTGTGGCCCCTTCAGGACCCCTTCTTTCCCCTGTTTGTACAGAAGTAGATTTTTAGATTGGCCCGCAGTATTTTCAGACTGGTTCCTTTTACAAAAGTCAATCTAAAAATCTACTTCTGTACACTATATGGTGTGATGTGTGTGTTATAAAGTAGTCACCGCTCCAAGCTCACTCCCTTGATGGACTACAATCTAATACAAATGAGTAGACTAAACGTGAGGTTGTAGCCCATCACAAGAGCGAACAAGCTCAGAATCAGGCGATTGCCATCTGATGTCCCTAAGGCCTCGTTCACATGAGCATAAAAAACAGACGTTGACAAACACTTCCATTCAAGTCAATGAAAGTGCATCTGACAAGTGCATTCTAAATGCTCCTAAGGTGTTTGGCACATGTTTGCAGAAAGCTCTCCCCTTGTTCCCCTTCCTCCGTTGAAAAAAAAAAAACAGGTGTTGGGAGACCTTAAAAAATAATTTTCAAACAGATCCAGAACACAACAAAAACGTGTTTCCACTATCAGAGTAATGGGACAGTGCTTGCAGCTGTTCAGCCAATTATTTTTCAGTATGTCCCTTAAGCAAAAGTCAATCTAATGATTGATGTCTGTCGAGGAGATGGGATCCATCCACGAATCGAATTGTGGCCAATTCCTGCTGAATCTGCCCAAATTTGCTCCACATTTACCCACACCCTTGTGAATGTAACCAGATAACAAGAAGATATCTTGCTGTACTCCTTACCCGATATGATGCCCTGCAAGATGCAGGTGGGTGCTAGTGGTGACCACGGATGGTGCGGTGAAATACGTGCATGTTTCATGTCGTCATTCTGAGCCTGATGAAGGGGACCCCGCGTGGCCTCAAAAGCGCTTGCATTTGAGTGGCAATCTTGTGTCAAAAAATGGACTTTTGCTGATTGCACAAGATAATATTGTGTGCTGATGGCATCCTTTGAAACATGTGAACGTAACCAAACACAGTCATACAGAGACACTCTATAGGCAGTTTGTTGAAACAAATGTAACTACCACTATGAGTTATGGTATATCGCCCAACTGTCCCTGTTTGGAATCAAATCCCTTTTTCCTCCCCAAATGCTCTGCCCTTTTAGCTCAGGTGTAGAGATCTGTATAAATAAATGTTCTATTTATTTGTCTCATTTATTTATGGTACTAAACTTTGTATCCATTCCTCAGATAATTGCATTGATTACTTTAAAATGAAATATAAAAGAAAAGTAGAAGTGGAAGGAAAGTGTAACTAAAATCAAGAACAATGTGATGATTTATATATTGCAGCTCATCAGTCTTTAAATGTAGTGGCTGCTTTGGCTACACTTTTTTAAGATGGTCAGTGTTCTGGCCCCCCCCCCCCCCCTTTAATTTAATCTGGGTATTCTGCAAGCAATACACTTTCTGTCCTAGGGTGCAGGGCTGGATATCCCACAAGGGGAGGGAATCCCATCGCCCGACGCCCAGGACAAGAAGCTCCAGGCGCTGGGTGAGTAGTTGTTTTGTACATTTAGCCCTGCTTTGGGCAAACAGACAGCGCAGCCTGCTCATCCGTCCTCCCCCAACCCCCCTCCCGTTCTCCGCTCCGTGTAAACAGTGAGAGGGGAGAGTTGCACTCACAGCCTTCCCCTCTCAGCTGTCACAGGAGTTCCAGCACAGCGCTATGCAAGAACTCCTCTATTAGAGTTGACAGGTTCCATAAACAGAACCCGTCACCACCAAATGCTATCACACAGGGGCTTGTTAGCACTTGTGTGATAGCAATAAAGTTAAGTGAAAAAAAATTATTAAAATACAAAATATTTGGCAAAATTGATTAAAAAAATTCTAAAATAAATAAAAATTAAGAAGTAAAAAATATTAAGGTAAAAAAATTATTTAAAAAAATTAGAGATAATATAGAGTAAATCCGGCCCTGCTAGGGTGACAACACTTACTATACTGCATCTATTGAGAAGCAGTGTTGTCACCCAATGACAGGACTACAAAATAACCCAACCTCCTCATCTCCATAACATAGAGGGCAGGAACTCTTTTGTCCTCAGAGATAACTGGGGACAATGCAACTACTATACTAAGTCTGTAGCATAGGCAGAAAGCACACCGTTATCAGCACATTAGGTTATCAGCTGGTATTATTTTGCACTTATTAAACAGATCTGACAAAAAGTCTTGTTTAACATACCAAAATGTACCAAATAAGAGAAGTTCATTGTTAGGGTTTACATTCTGAAACGCTCATTTGCCATGGCCTACATGATTGAGGGGTATAATAGGGATGTGGTCGTTGCCTAAATATTCTGTGTTAAAAGGTGATCCTGAGGGGTAGGCTGTGTGGAAGGAAATTTGTTGTGGAAGGAAATGTAATCAACTGGAAGAAATGTTTCCCAAACAAGGAAAGTACATAGCAGCTGCTTTCAGATGATGTCCCTGGTGGACATCAAGCCCAGGTGCCATAAGCACTCTTTCACTGCGCTGAGCCTGTTTACACATTACATTACACATTTTCTTCACCACGACACGTGGAGCCAAGACCAGACAGTGCTTTCATTTACAAAAAAATGATTTTATTTGCAAACAGAAATCACATAAAATGAGATCATTTGTGTCCCAAATAAATGCTTGTAAAGCTTCATTAATGAGACCGATAGAACAGAAATCGGATGTGTTATGGGAAGGGATGACCGCACACTTAATCCTATGGAAGAAGTAACTGAGCAAAGTTTAAGTAAACCTAACCTCTTTAGCTGTTGCGGAACCACAAGTCCCAGCAGGTGACGATTGGCAATTTCACAGCAGCTGCAGAGCCTTAGGTTGACCAAGTTGGTTAGAACAGTAAGAGTGGCTAAGTCATCCTTTCGCTCTAAGACACAGGTGTCAATGTTAATACATAGTATTAGAAGATAATATTCTGCACGCTTCCTAAAACAGAAGCTATTTAAGGAATTCAGCCACCATCAGAAGGTAGCTTTATAAAGTAATCATTATATTAGTCCTGTATAGACATCATCCTGGTTACCAAGCTTCTTTCTGACCCATTGCAGCTCAGAATCTTATCCAGTGTAAACATAGGTGCAATTTGGATATATCCCTCGAAGAATGGATGTCAGAAGGTCGTTATGTAGGTTAGTCTAGTGCCCAGGTACAGTCTCTCCCAAGGGCTTTATGGTTTATTCAGTCCGTGCCCCATCTAGTCTTTATGCACCTGGGAACTCATCTCAATAGTCCAGGAATGGTGTCTTGTTTGGTCTTGACACCATTCCCCAAAGGTTAGCTCTTATCATAAGGCACTTGACTGTGTGTCATAAAAACGGCTCAAAGTCTATACACACACATACTTTTTCCACCAAGCTTTAGATAGTGTTTTCATCTTGCTGGCTGTAGCTGCCACTTTTCTCTCCCGCTGGTTTCGCAGGTCAGAATAGCGGAGGCCAGAAAGGATGGCCAGGTCAAACACGTCCTTCAGATTCTTTTGAGTGAGAGCGGAGCATTCCACATAACCCACAGCCCCAATTTTCTCAGCAAGGGCTTTGCCAGAGGACTGGGGTATAGGTTTCTCTCGATACCGTGCCAACTGGATCGAGATTTTGACGTCCTCACGAAGGTCACACTGGGTACCCACTAGAACAACAGGCACATTGGGGCAGTGGCACTGGATCTCAGAGATCCACTTTTCTGATATATTCTGGAAGGACGATGGGCTGACCACACTGAAGCACAGGATGACAACATCCGTTTTTGGGTAGCAGAAGTGGCGCAGCTTGTCAAATTCATCCTGAGAAAGAAGAAAAGAATAAATTTATTTATGACATCCAGAACCACAGAGAACGCTAGAAAGAACATTAATGGATTCTGTTCCTATTGATGCAGGGGATCACAGACAGAAGAACGCTATGACATATAAAACTGTCCCTCCAATGCAAGGTGGCAGAAAGGAGCTATGAAACATGGAGTCACCATTCCACTACAGCGTGACACAGACAGAAAGAATAGAGCTATGAGACATGGCATCTGTCCCTCCCACTGCAGGGTGACCCAAGTAGAAGAGAACTATGAGACATGGCATCTGTCCCTCCCACTGCAGGGTGACCCAAGTAGAAGAGAACTATGAGACATGGCATCTGTCCCTCCCACTGCAGGTTGACCCAAGTAGAAGAGAACTATGAGACATGGCATCTGTCCCTCCCACTGCAGGCGGACACAGATACAAGGGAACGTGGAGACTGCTCCCATCTCTGCAAGGTATAAATAAACTACTAAATACATAAGCAAGCTGGAAGAACTGTAACAAGTTTGGTGTTCCCCTCTCTCCTCTGCAGGGTAACGCAGTAATGCAGACAGAACTACAAGCTATAGAACCCTGCTATCTCCATAAAAATTACATTCCTAGATTGACTGCACTCTTACCTGGCCTGCAGTATCACACAGCTGCAGCTTCACTGGGGTGTTGTCAACTTGGACCAGAGCTGCAAAAAGGAAAGAAAAAATAAAATTAACATACATAGGATTAGCACCCCCTGTGCAGTAGGGCCCCATCACCCTGGGCTGTTGTATACTGCCGATTGGAAAATTATGTCATTGTGTTTGCCCTGGGGAGGAGTCGGCAGGACATGACCTTTCGTTGTGGACCATGGATCTGCATACAGAGACACAGTGCTGCATTGTGCATGGATTACTCTGTACTTCCTCGATAGGCTAACAAGTAAAACTAAGCAATATGATAAGGTGGTGCAGTAAAAAAAAAAAACAATTATGATGTCTAGTTACATCAGATCTAGTCCAAACCAGTTAATAAAAATATTAGCCTTTAAGATACATTCCTGGATAGAAGAATCGCAGAAACAAGAATTCCCCCCAGGGGTGACCTGCAATACCCAAATATCAGATCCCTTACTCGAGGATCCAGGAAACCCTGTACAAAAAAACCTGGCCTGACTAGAAACAGGTTAATGCCACTAATGTTTGGAACCCGAAAATGTTGTATTAACACATACACATTGGGCCAACAAACCCCACTTGGGGAACCAGATTTTGTTCTCCATATAGTAGTACAGATTTACGGATGGCTTGAAGGACTTAACACAATAACCTAGCCATGTACGGAGTGGGAACCTTTGTAAAAGATCATCTACAAACTTGTGAAACTCAACTTTTGTCTAGTTGTCAATTGCCCCGTGGACATGATGCAGGTCTAATGGGAGAGCTTATCCAATATGAAGTAAGCTGGGATATGTCGGACTATACACAGGTCTATTGTTTAAAATTTCAACAGATTCACACATCGGAATTGAACAAATGAAGGTAGCATTTTGCAGGTAGCTCGTTTGATTTATCGGTCATTGTTCCCAATTGTTGGCACATTGAAGAGTAGCAGATATCCTTTCTATCGTAAATTGCATCCTACTCCCCTGAACAATTGCTTAGATTGCAAACATTTGTCTGTCCGTAGAGAACAATTTTCCAAAACGCTAGTAAATCATTTAGACTACCATTTCCATCCTTATCATTTTCAGCAATTGTTTTTGTACCTAAAAAGCTACATTTGTGTTCACCGTATGCTGAATTCTACCATAAAAATAACCCCAGTTCTAAGCTTGCTGGAGAATACCAGTAACCTCCAAGGGGCAGATCGTTTAGATCAGATATATGGATTAGAAACCCCCATGTTTGCGCCCATTACATCAACTCGATCATTTCCCCCTTCCACCATTACACAGTCATGAGCAAACCTACCTGAGAAGTCATCGAACGCCGTAGGAATGTATCGAGTTGGGTAGCCATTGGTAGTGTAGCTGACCAGAAGGCTGGTCTTGCCCACCGCACCATCTCCCAGAAGCACGCATTTCAGGTTCCTCTCCTGACACCCATCTGTAGGTAAAGGCTTAGGCATGTGAGGTGGCACAGGGGGTGCAAAGTGTGACGTGTACTCCATGGACAGGTCCTGAGGGGGCATGGTCCTCCAGTTAAAGGTTGTCCACCTTTCCAGGTCTGCTCAGGTATTCTGGCCAGGAAGGCAGCAAAGACTCTTTAAAAATGCTTTCTTTTTTTTTTTTCCCCTCCCTCTTTGTGCGAAAGACACCCCTGCACTCCTGGGAACTCAGCAGGCTGGGAGCTGGGATCAGGAGAGGGAGGAGCTGCAGACAGGCTTGGATAATCAATGTGGAGAGATGAAGAGGACTAAAGGATTTGAAGCAGTTGGGGGAGGTGAAAGCGCAGGGAGGAGGGGAGCTCTGGGGGGTGGGATAGAGAGCTGTGCCTCTCACAGGACGGTTTTGCATAGAAATGTAAAAAAGGGATTGTGCTCTGTAAAGTTGTCTCACACAAACACTGCTCCCTCCAAGCTAAGTGAGCTGGTAAATAAGGAGTTAAACCTCCCAGCTCTGCTCCACCCTGCAGGCTGCATTGAGAATCTGCTGTTGCTGTCCTGCACAATGGACTTTCCAAAGAAGTCTGAACTTTAACTCTCGCCTTTCCCTCCGTCAGCTTTTTAGACAGTGGAGGACATCCTGCTTTATAGGGTCTTCTCAATCTTTTTGTATTATATACTAATGTAAAAAGACAGGTAACCTCTACTGTGCGTGTCGGCAGCCCCTAAATTGTGTGAACTTTTGTTAAAAGTGTGTGAAGGTTTTAAACAACTGATTGACCAGGAAAGTTCTCCATCTTATTTTCCATAAGATGTTTTTTTGGCTAAAACCTAGGGTTGCCACCCGTACGGGTTTCACCCATACAACCCGGGTTTGGAATCACGTGCCCGGGTCTGTGGCCACCTCCCGCCCGGGCACATGATTCAATAAACCTTAAACCCCAATTAATGTTACGAAGCCGATTTACCTCATATTTGATCTGTAAAGGTACCTGTGGGGATGTATTTAAAAGTAAAAAAATTGCTCTATAAGTTTTAATATAATGGAGTTAAAAGTCTTGCACTTGCACATCGGGAGCAAAAAAGTAGTTGGCTGCAGTTCGAATCATTAAGATTCAGGGCTAATTCACAACTATGTATTGCGGAAACGCGTGTGTTACCGCAATGCGCAGTAATACACATTACATGCCTTGACAAAGTGCCTGTTTAGAGGGCCGCTTCTGCCTGATCCAGCTAGCCCGAATCGCATACTAGCTGGATCAGGCAGACGCAGCCTTCTAAACAGGCATTGTAGAGGACAGACCGCAGGGGCCTGCAGAGGAGCCCACCAGAGGAGCGGCCGAATACAGAGCCGCGTCTGATGCCGCAGGTCAGCGGTCCCCCCCGGCCCCCCCTCGCTACAACACTGGCCGGGAGTGTCGGATGAACGGATGATCCGACACTCCCGGCGGAGAGACCAGGGGCCCGCCGCGCGCTGGATAACGATCCGGCGGCCGGCAACTTGCTGGGCCCCCTGAGAGCCTGAGGCCCCGGGCGCCCGCACCGCCTGCACCGGCGGTAGTTCCGCCACTGGCTATGCCTACAGCACCGGCTTTCATTTCCTTGGGCTTTTATCAATCTGCCCAGTACCCATTAGACATCAGTCGTTCTTTGAAATCCAACTGCCAGCAGCTTGACGCAACCCCGTCTGTGTTTCCGTGCAATACAAGAGGCTTTATACTGTACTTACCTCAATGGCAGCTCATGTCTCCCTCCCATGCACCATGGTACCATCCTCCTACCCCTATGTCAGTGGAGGGAACCACAACGCAAGGCAAGGGACACTTACGGAAGTCTTAAATTTGGCTACAGTCACTGTTTGGTTCAGATTTTTAAGACCAGCTCCTTCAACAAAAGTCGATTGAAATGTTTTTTTCAAAAGGGGAGGTCCCAGCTGGGCCACATGCTGGTTGACTTTTTAGCCAAGCCATCAGTGTATGGCCATCCTACCAGTGTATGGGAATCTGCAGATGGCTTTTTGAGAGTGTGGTCAAATCCTGCCTGGACGCTATATACCTATATATATATATATATATATATATATATATATATATATATATATATATATATAATATACAC